TATATTCTATTCTATATGTTCTGTTCTATAATTCCATATATTCTACAATTCCACCTATTCTATTCTATTCCATATATTCTGTTCTATAATTCCATATATTCTCTATTCTATTCTGTTCTATAATTCCATATATTCTACAATTCCATTTATTCTATTCTATATTATATTCTTCAATTCCATATATTATGTTCTATAATTCCTTCTATTCTATTCGTCAATTCCATATATTCTATTCTATATTATATTATATTCTTCAATTCCATATATTCTATTCTATATTCTATTCCATATTTATTCCATATTCTGTTCTGTTCCATTCCACTCCCATTCGTCATTCTGTTCTCTCCCCCCTCTCCAGGCATTAAGAATTGTGACCCCAAAGGACCCCTGATGATGTACATCTCCAAGATGGTGCCCACCTCTGACAAGGGCCGCTTCTACGCCTTTGGCCGGGTGTTCTCCGGGGTTGTCTCCACCGGCCTCAAGTGCAGAATCATGGGGCCAAACTACACACCAGGGAAGAAAGAAGATCTCTACCTGAAGCCCATCCAGAGGTCAGCCTCGCCGTGGGGACGGGGCAGGGGGCTGGCAGCACGGAGGGGAAAATGCCTTTTATTGCTCCTTTCCTTGTCTCTCTGTGAAATCTGAATGCCTGGGGGTTAGGGGTTGGGCCTGCTGGCTAAGGCAGTGTGCCAGGAGACAGTGAGTTGTTCTAGTCCTGCCTTAGCCAAAAAAGCTGACTGGGTGACTAAGGCAATCACCAGGAGACAGTGAGTTCTAGTCCTACCTCAGTCAGGAAAACTGGCTGGGTAACTTTGGGGCCAGTCACTAGGAGAGGGTGAGTGAGTTCTAGTTTTACCTTAGCCAAGAAAGCTAGCTGGGTGACTTTGGGGCCATTCACTAGGAGATAGTGAGTTCTAGTTCTGCCTTGGTCAAGAAAGCTGGCTGGGTGTGACTAGGGCAATCACCAGGAGACAGTGAGTTCTAGTCCTACCTCAGTCAAGAAAGCTAGCTGGGTGACTGGGCCAACCACCAGGAGATGGTGAGTTCTAGTCCTGACTTAGCCAAGAAAGCTGGCTGGGTGACTTTAGGGCCAGTCACTAGGAAACGGTGAGTTCTAGTCCTGCCTTAGCCAAGAAAGCTGGCTGGGTAACTTTGGGGCCAGTCACCAGGAGATGGTGAGTTCTAGTTCTGCCCTAGGCATGAAAGTTGGCTGATGGCTTTGGGGGCCAATCACCAAGAGATGATGAGTTCTAGTCCCTCCCTAGCTGGGAGATTTTGGACCAATCACTCTGGGCTCTTCCCACCTCACAGGATTGTGGGGAAAAGAGAAGAAAACCAATTTTACCTAGTAAATACGGAATAGAAGTGGGAGGGAATTATAATTTCAGAAACCTCCCTAACTTCTGGCTTCTTCTGCCGGAAACTGCCGATCCTTCGCTTTTCCCCCCAGCAGTGGTCAGGGGTGCCAGGAGAACCCCCATTCCTTGGGGCTCCTTTCTCCAGCACCCGGGCTGTGGATCACCCTGTCCCCCTCCTCCTCCCTTCCCTCCACCCAGGACCATTCTCATGATGGGCCGCTACACGGAACCCATTGAAGACGTGCCTTGCGGTAACATTGTGGGCCTGGTTGGCGTCGACCAGTTCCTGGTCAAGACGGGCACCATCACCACCTTTGAGCATGCCCACAACATGCGCGTCATGAAGTTCAGCGTCAGCCCCGTCGTGCGCGTGGCCGTGGAGGCCAAGAACCCGGCCGACCTGCCCAAACTGGTCGAGGGCTTGAAGAGGTTGGCCAAGTCGGACCCCATGGTGCAGGTGAGATGGGAGGGGAGGCGTCGATCACTGGGACAGGGTTGGCAAACCTCTCCTTAGCTTGTTGAGATGTGGAGACTCTAGAAAGAGTGCAGAGAAGAGCAACAAAGATGATTAGGGGACTGGAGGCTAAAACATACAAGGTTAATTGGGGATGTCTAGTTTAATGAAGAGAAGGACGAGGGGGGACAGGATAGCAGTCTTCCAATATCTCAGGGGCTGCCCCAAAGAAGAGGCAGTCAAGCTATTCTCCAAAGCGCCTGAAGGCAGGACAAGAAGCAACGGATGGAAACTCACCAAGGAGAGAAGCAACCTGGAACTAAGGAGGAATTTTCTGACAGTTAGAACAATTAACCAGTGGAACAACCTGCCTCCAGAAGCAGAGAATGCTCCAACACTGGAAGTTTCTAAGAAGAGACTGGACTAGTCACTTGGCTGGGATGGTATAAGCCAGGGGTAGGCAACCTTGGCTCTGAGGGGAAAGGGAGAGATTTCCATGTTGAGCCATGCTGGCTCAGGAATTCTGGGAGTTGAAGTCCACGAGTCATAAAAGAGCCAAGGTTGCCTACCCCTGCTCTAGATGATTGATTGATTGATAGACAGACAGACAGACCACCGAGGGTAGGCAACCTTGGCTCTTTTGGCTCAGGAATTCTGGGAGTTGAAGTCCACCAGTTATAAAAGAGCCAAGGTTACCTACCCCTGGTCTAGGGTTTCCTGCCTGAGCAGGGGGTTGGACTAGGTGACCTCCAAGGTGCCTTCCAAGTTTATTATTATCTTTTGCATCTTTGAACCCAGGGGGTCTGCTCAACAAGCCCTCGACTTAATGGCCACAATTTCTGTCGCTAAGCAGAAGCAAGCAGTCAGCTCTAAAGCAAGGCCGTTCAAGAAAGTGAGGCGTGCCTCGTTTTGCCACCTTTTTGCCCCAGTTGTTAACGTGAATCGCTGCAGTTCGTTAAGTCAATCATGCGGTCACTAAACGGATCCGGCTTCCTCCATTGGCTTTGCTCGTCGGAAGCTGGCTGGGAAGGCTACAAGTGGTGATCACGTGACCCCCAGCATGCCTCAACCGTTGTAAAATACATGCTGGTTTGCCAAACCAGGGACGCTGAGCCGGTTAACAAGCTCGAACGGCTGTCCTGGGTCCCTTTTTGTTCAGTGACGTTGTAACTTCAAACGGTCACTAAGCGGATAGGCGCTAGTTGAAGATTGGCAAGGGCCCCAATCATTCATTCTGAAGGGGATGCAAAAAGCAGAGGCAGCCTCCGAACGCAAGAAGGCAGGCAAGCCCAACAGGCCGGTTCGTTCTTCCTGGCCTAGTCTGGTGACAAGGAAGTGGAGGGGGGGAAGCTTGTGTTAGGAAGGGGATTGACGCCTCAATTTTCTGCCCCCTTCCTCTGTCTGTTAGTGTATCATTGAGGAATCTGGAGAGCACATCATAGCCGGAGCCGGAGAACTGCATTTGGAGATCTGTCTGAAAGATCTGGAGGAGGATCATGCCTGCATTCCCATCAAGGTAGCTATTTGCATCCGGTCTTATTTATGAAATCGATACCAATAGAGCAAGGGTGTCAAACTGCGTCATCCGGAAGCCCACCCCATTGCCAGCGAGAAGGTGTTTTGGGGCATTCTTGTTTCCTTTTTATTGTCTCTCTTGAAGGGTATGTGGATCTTGTTCGTGCCTCTTAATGCTGTTGGTTTATACCTATCTTGCGATTGCCATTCTGAGTTTTTTTTATTAATATTAGCAAAAATCTCTCATGTCCAGGTCTTTAGCACTTGACAAAATCCCAGCAGGATTGATCTTAGGGTTGTGGTGTTCCAGACGGCTGGTGCTGGAACAAAAGAACAAATTTGCCAAGTCCTAGAACAGGGGTTTTCCAACTTGGCCCTTTTATGACTTGTGGACTTCAACTCCCAGAATACCTCAGCCAGCCCTGTTTGATTTGAACACGCGTGCCTGGCTGAGGAATTCTGGGAGTTGAAGTCCACAAGTCATAAAAGGGCCAAGTTGGAAGACCCCTGCCCTATAAGATGATGCTCTTCAGTTGAAGTGACCCAGAGCGCATCTCTCCTGTTGGACGTAGCAGGACAGAGAGAAACAGCGGCGGGGGAAAACCCTGAAGTCTCTTCGGTATAACTTGCTTGTTTGTTGCCTACTGGATGTTGCGAACGAGATAACTCCTTTCCAAATGTCCGTTCCCTCACCCGTTGATTCTTGGCAGAAATCCGATCCCGTCGTCTCTTACCGGGAGACCGTTAGCGAGGAGTCGGGGACCTTGTGCCTTTCCAAGTCGCCCAACAAACACAACCGTCTGTACATGAAAGCCCGCCCCTTCCCGGATGGCCTGGCTGAAGACATCGACAAGGGGGATGTCTCATCCCGCCAGGAGCTGAAGCAGCGGGCCCGGTACCTGGCCGAGAAGTATGAGTGGGACGTGACTGAAGCCCGTAAGATCTGGTGCTTTGGCCCCGACGGGACTGGCCCCAACATCCTGACTGATATCACCAAGGGGGTGCAGTACCTCAACGAGATCAAGGACAGCGTGGTGGCCGGCTTCCAGTGGGCCACAAAGGAGGTGAGTGCAATGACCCAGGGCACAGCACAGAGGCAGTGCAGTCAGCTGGCAATTCAAACTGCCCTTTAATTGCTCCACATTTTCCCCAAATGCTCCCACGTTTCTGGCCAGCCTCCAAACACAGGAAGACACACACACACCTCTGGCTGCAAGTAGTTTCACACACAGTCTGATTTAGGAGAGGAATTTACTCGAGGCCACGGAGATAACAAGGAATGACACATACATCATAAACCTAACGCTGGCCTGAGCAGTTTCAAAAGGGAAGCCGAAATACAGTCCGAGATCTTTGAACATCCAAGCGACGTTGTCAGCCAGTCCAAGGGTCAGAGTTTCCGGGCTTCCAAGCAGAAGTCACAGAACAAGAGATCAGCAACAACACACACAAAACTCCAAGGAATCAGCGTTTGTTCCCGACAAAAGCCTCTCCCCACAGCGTCTCCTTAAGTCTCAGTCTCCAGGTGTGCCTTGTGGAGAGGGGCGGGACGTTCTCCTCCTGAGTAGTTGAGCCTGCCTGCGTTGTTCCCTCCTTCTCTCCACTCTCCGTGCTCTAGGATCAGGAGAGGGTGGCCCTTGCTCATCGCCTGAACTCCACCTCTCCTGTCCCTCCTGTCCCACTCCTGAAGGGCCCTGGCCTGACTCGGCCTGCTCTTCCCCACAGTCCTCTGAAGCCACAGACACCTCTCCCTCGACCTCCGTAGGGTCCCTTCCAGCTCATTTTCCTCTGCAGATTCAGGCTCCGACGGAGCCATGACACTAAGTCTGGCCCTGGTGGCTGAGCCGTAAGATGAGTGTCAGACATGCCTCCGTTTGAACCTCTAAGTAAGAACGATCCTTAACTCCATTTATGGAGAAAGGTGTACTTTGCTAAAAATCAAGTGCCGTAATTCACTTGACTTCTAGTAAAGTACAACTTCCTCAACAAACGGAGTTAAGGATCGCTTCCTACTTAAACTCCATGTCCTACTGTGACATGGAGTCATGTTGCTCCTTCGACATTTATTATTTTATCGTGCGGCACACTCACCTCACCTCTCAATAAAGACACCAGAGATTAAAATGCAAAATACGAAATTAAAATATTATAGAAGAATGCCTAGATTGCAGATAGGTTTTGCTTCCTTTGTCTCAGCCCGGAAATCGGCCAAGTCTCCCTCGGAGGCTCCATTTTGGCACTCGTGACACTGTAGGTTGGATAGTTTGTTTTTCGGCCCCGCAGTCACAATCCGAGGAAGGTCTTTTGCCCCACTTACAGAGAGTATAAGTCTTATCGCATCGACCCAGTCTCCTGCAGCTCGTTCAAAAAATAGTAACAGAGCATGGCAGAATTCAGCTATAAATTAAATTGGTCAACCATTTGTCTGAAATGGTATTGGGTTTTCTGCCTGAGCAGGGGGTTGGACTAGAAGACCTCCAAGGTCCCTTTCAACTGTTTAGTCTGGTCTAGTCTAGTCTATAGCAGGGGTAGGCAACCTTGGCTCTTTTATGACTCGCAGACTTCAACTCCCAGAATTCCTGAGCCAGCATGGGGGAACTATGGCCCCCTCATGACTGGTGGACTTCCAACTCCCAGAATTCCTGAGCCAGCATGGCTCAGCTTGGGAACCTCTCCCCTTTCCCTCAGCATAGCTGGCTCAGGAATTCTGGGAGTTGAAGTCCACGAGTCATAAAAGAGCCAAGGTTGCCTACCCCTGATCTATAGTCTAGTCTTATTCTTATTCCTATTCATAATAAATACAAAGACCTGCAAATAGAAGTAGAACGACTGTGGCAAAAGAAAGCAAAAGTAGTCCTAATAGTGATAGGTGCCTTGGCTGCAATCCCAAAACAACTGGCCCATCCCTTGAACACTCATCGGCATGGACAAATTCCCCATCAAGTCAATTGCAAAAGACAGCTTGACTTGGAATAGCTGACATCCTGAGATGAGACCTTTAAACAAACAACCACATCTGCCCAGCCTAGGTCCTTGAGAAGGACTCAATAATACCAAATCCCCTTTGAACATCTGGCTGACTCCGTGGCCAATAATGAAAAGTAGACAAAGGGCAGCTGAAGAAGCTAAATTCCCCTGGGGCTTTAGAATTCAAACAGGCCTGCTACGTAACACCCCAGACTTAACAATTCCCTATAACAAAAGACAAAAAGTCCTGGGATAGCCGACATGGCAGTACCTGGATATAACAGAAGAGAAGAGAAAATCTAGACCAACTCGCCAAACCAGGTTTTAACGTCCCTCCAAAAAGACAGGAGTTTTCACCTCCAGTGGCAGAATCTTCCACAGATTTGAGTGCAACGGGGAAAAACCTACTTGACCTGCCAGTTGGAATTCCCTAACGGGGCGTGAGTGCGGAGGGCTATGCCCATTGGGGCGAGGTAGCTCCCCAAATACCCTGAACCCCTGCCATAATTGAGGCACCTTTAAAAAAGAGGAGAGGGAGGCCCTGTTTACATGGGCTTGTGGGAGACTAAGATAAACCCACCCAGCTTTTGAAATTCTGTTCCTAAAACCCTGTTTTTTCCCCCCTTTACCGCTGCTTTCGTGTCGGAAGCACCGAGGCGCTTCCAGGTTAAAAGGATGAGGTGGTGACATCACTGTTGCCCTGGAGACGCCTTTCACGTCCCTGTTACGTTGCCCACCGAAGTGGTACCCATGAAGTTACGGTTGCCTTCTTTCGAACTGCTACCCCATTTCCTCGAAAATAAACCCCAACGTGATTTTTCAGGATGCTCGTAATATAAGCCCCATCCCCAAAATAAGCCCCAGTTAAGATCGTCAGCAAGACCGGACACATTTGGTGCTGTATTTCTCCGAAAATAAGCCCTAATGGGTCTTTTGGAGCAAAAATTAATACAAGACCCAGTCTTCTATTAAATACGGTCGCTGTGCAGGAGCTGGAGCGAAGGACGGGAGCTCACCCCATCCCGTGGCAGCCCTTGGGTCTCGAACCGCGGGTTTGTGTTCAAACTGCCTGCGCCACTGCACTCCCCGTTTCCTTCACTGCAAATGCCTAAGCACCTTGCCCTCTGGATTGTGAGTGCTGACACCCCTCTTCCGCTCTCCCCAGGGGGCCCTCTGCGAGGAGAACCTGCGGGGCGTCCGCTTTGATGTGCACGACGTCACCCTGCACGCCGACGCTATCCACCGCGGCGGCGGCCAGATCATCCCCACAGCCCGGCGGTGCCTCTACGCCTGCATGCTGACGGCTCAGCCCCGCCTGATGGAGCCAATCTACCTGGTGGAGATCCAGGTAGGTGTGGAGGGAGGGAGGCCGGGTGAGCTGGGGACGGCCCAGGGGTTTCTCCCCCCATCTCACCAGACTGCTGCTTGCTTTCTTCCAGTGCCCTGAGCAAGTAGTGGGCGGCATTTACGGCGTGCTGAACAGGAAACGAGGCCACGTCTTTGAAGAGTCCCAGGTTGCTGGAACCCCCATGTTTGTGGTCAAGGCCTACCTGCCTGTGAATGAATCTTTTGGTAAGTATAAACCTTTGCCCTCTGGGCTCAGAAGCTCTTCCTGCTCTGCTCTCATTTTTTTTACTGTGGGCACAACAGCACACATCAAAAATGAAATTAGTTGCCCGCTCTCAGAGTGAAACACATACACGACGCACACCTAAACGTACTATGAACAACATATGTATAGACCCACATCCCTACATATACGTAGCAAATAAATATTAAATACTGTCCATCTTGGATATATAATGGAAAGACAGCCTTCCATCCTTCCAAGGTCGGTAAAATGACCCAGATTGTTGGGGGGGGGGGCATAAGCTGACTCTGTAAACCGCTTAGAGAGGGCTGTAAAGCGGTATATAAGTCGTAAGTGCTATTGCTAACTCATCTATCTTATCATATCTCTATAGCTTTCTGTCTTCTCTCGGTCTCTGTCTCTATCCATCTATCTGTCTCTTTCTGTCTGTCTCTTTTCTCTCTCAAGAGCTCTGGTGGCGCAGTGGTTAGAATGCAGTATTGCAGGCTAACTCTGCTCCCTGCCAGCAGTTTGATCCTGATTGGCTCAAGGTTGACTCAGCCTTCTGTCCTTCCGAGGTCGGTAGAGTGAGGACCCAGATTGTTGGGGGGCAAGATGCTGACTCTGTAAACCGCTTGGAGAGGGCTGTAAAGCACTGTGAAGCGCTGTACAAGTTCAAGTGCTATTGCTAAGTCGAGGAGGGCTCTTGGCCCGAGAAAAATCCCGCCGCCTTTCTAAAATGTGAACTCTTCCTTGCTTTCGCGCCACACCCGTGACGCCTGTCTGCCTTTTTTTAGGTTTCACGGCCGACTTGAGATCCAATACCGGAGGCCAGGCGTTCCCGCAGTGCGTGTTCGATCACTGGCAGATCCTGCCCGGGGATCCTTTCGACAACACCACCCGGCCCTGTCAAGTGGTGATCGAGACCCGTAAACGCAAAGGGCTGAAAGAGGGCATCCCCGCGCTCGATAACTTCCTGGATAAATTGTAAACCAATCAGAATGAAATCATAACCGCGCCAGATCTTAAAACAAAAACGAGAATAAATTTTAAAAACGGCTGTTGTGGGACTCGAAATGAACTTTTAACTAGTGTTAAAAACAAAACAAAAACATGGTGGTTAGATGTGCTTGTGGCTGAGGATGGCGGCTGTTTCCTTTTTTCTTCCCCCCTCTCCCTTTCCAATCGCGAGAAAAGGGTCCCACGCCTCTTTCCCCCCCCAGCCTTGGAAAGGGTTTCTTTCCACTTTAATTAAACGCCAGAAAAACCCACTCAGCCCCGTTGTTAACTTTTGAGAAAATTAACGCTTCCATTTAACGCACCCGAAACACAGCTCATCTCCATATTTATTGGACATCGTGGAGGCACGTGATTTTGGAGGGGGTGGGGTGGGGAGGGAGAGAAATGGCCAGGTTTTTCTCTTCCTTGGTGAAATCGTAAGCAAATTTTGGAAAAAGGAAGAGGAGGGGGCGGGTTTGGTTTGGTGGGGAAGGGTGAGACGTAGGAAATTTCGTTTTGCTCTCTTGAAAGATCTCGGCCGAGAAGGCGGAAGGATGATCAAAGTCATTATCTGGGGGTTGGGATTTGAGAGAATTTGAGGCTTTCCAGACCGGACAGCCTCTTCGCTAATAGATATCGTTGTGCAAATCAATGTATTTAGAACCACTGGAATAATAAATGTAAGATATCTGATCGGGTTTCCTGTTTCTGTTGAAACGTCTCGAGAGCTGCGTTAGGAGGAAAGACGTCGTTGGGGGGTGCAAACAATGCAAGTAGTCCTCGGTTTTACGACTGATCACTTAGCATCCGTCTGAAGTTACAAAGTTCACAAGACTCTCAATTCCTTGGGACAATCTTTTAAGAAAGCCAATTGGGTGACCCCAGCGGTGGAAATGGGAGTGGGAAAAAACACTGGGTGGGGATTAAGGGGGTTGGGGATGTGGGGCAGTGTGGTGGAGATTAGGGTATTCCTTGCTACCAGCTTTTCAAAGCTTGTGCCCCACTGGATGGGTTAGGCCACGGGTTGGCAACCTGTGGCTCCGGAGCTGCATGTGGCTCCCAGCCTCCTGCCATTTGCAGAGACAGACAGAGGCACTTGTGCTTCCCTTCTTTCTTTCTCTCCCTCTCCCTCTCCCTCTCTGTGTGTGTGTAAAAAAGAGTGGCCTCACGCTGTTCTCAGACTAGCTGACAAGCTTATTGGGTGGGGCTCCTGCCTTGGCTGCGTCTGCAGGAAGGGCAGGAGAGAGCCAGCCCAATAAGAATGTGTGTCAGCTTGTTGGAGAACAGCATGAATGAAGCCAGCTTTCCAGGTGAGCAGAAGATCAGGGAGAGAAAGAAAAAGGGAGAGGGAAGAGAGAACTCATGCACAGCACCCTCTATTTCTTTTTAATTAAAGTCTTCAACCAAGGCCTCCCTCCGGCGTGCGTGTGCGGGCCCGTTTTGCGGCTCCCAGTGTTTTCTGTGGGAAACGAGTCCAAGTGGCTCTTTGTTTGCGGTTGCCCGCCCCTGGGTTAGATGTTCATAGAATAGAATCGGGACTGGAAAGGACCTTGGAGGTCTTCTAGTCCTCCAACAAAGATGATCAGGGGACTGGAGGCTAAAACATACAAGGAACGGTTGCTGGAATTGGGTATGTCTAGTTTAATGAAGAGAAGGACGAGGGGGGACATGATAGCAGTGTTCCAGTATCTCAGGGGCTGCCCCAGAGAAGAGGGAGTCAAGCTATTCTCCAAAGCGCCTGAAGGCAGGACAAGAAGCAACGGATGGAAACTCATCAAGGAGAGAAGCAACCTAGAACTAAGGAGAAACTTCCTGACCACGGGAACAGCCAGTGGAACTACTTGCCTCCAGAGGTTGTAGGGGCTTCATCACTGGAGGTTTTTAAGAAGAGACTGGACAGTCACTTGTCTGAAATGGTACAGGGTCTCCTGCTTGAGCAGGGGGTTGGACTAGAAGACCTCCAAGGTCCCTTCCAGCTCCATTCTATTCCAACTCATCAAGGAGAGAAGCAACTTAGGAGAAATCAACTGAATCAGTGGAATTCCTTGCCTCCAGAAGTGGTGAATGCTCCAACACTGGAAGTCTTTAAGAAGAGACTGGACCGCCATTTGTCTGAAATGGTATAGAGTTTCCTGCCTGAGCAGGGGGTTGGACTAGAAGACCTCCAAGGTCCCTTCTAACTCTGCTATTCTGTTCTACTCTCACCCCCTTGCTCAGTGCAGGAGACCTTATACCAGGGGTAGGCAACCTCTGCTCTTTTATGACTCATGGACTTCAACTCCTAGAATTCCTGAGTCAGCATAGCTATGCTGACTCAGGAATTCTGGGAGTTGGAAGTCCATGAGTCATAAAGGAGCCGAGGTTGCCTACCCCTGCCTTATACCATCCTAGTCAAAGGGCGGTCCAGTCTGTTTTTGAAAACCTCCAGTGTGGCAGCACCCACAACTGGAATAATAAATATATAAGATATCTGATCGAGCTTCCTGATTATGTTGAAACGTCTTGAGAGCTGCGTTAGGAGGAAAGACGTGGGAGAAATATAATACAGGAAGTCCTCATGATTAGTCACAAAATTCACTTGAAGTTACAATCGATCCCAACAAAAGTAACTTAGGACTCTTTTGCAAAGGTTTTTCTCACCTTATAGCCATTTGGGCCCTTGGCAACGGACCTGTATTTACGGCTGTTTGCAGCATCCCCCAATCATGACACAATTTGATATATATGTTTTTTTGCCAAAATGGGCATTTAGTTCCAGTTTTGGGGCAAAAACTGCCCACAGCATTTTACAATCAGCTTGTTCGCTTAACAATTGCCACCAAACTTATAAAAATCAGCTTAGTTGTGACAGCCTGCTTTACAATTGTCATGATTTACTACTGTAATTGGCAGGCTCCATCATCGTCGTAAGTTGAGAACTACCAGCCGGACAAGATCATACAAAAATAAGCCCTGTATAGGTGTGTCATTGGGGCTCCCGCCAGCACAGCTTTTAACACCACAAAATTGTGGCCTCTGCAAAAAAAAAGCCGTAAATACTGAAGCAATGCTTTGTTCTGATTTAGCAACATTACAACCACTAGGGAAAAAAAATGTCATCACAACACGACACGTTTCAAAGTTGCTTCCTGTTCAGACTCTTATGAGAGGGCAGTTTAATATCTATACATTTCATGTTAATTCCTGTTGTGTTTGACTCCCACTTCGGTTCAAGAAATTCTCCCTTAAGGGTCATATCCCTGGCTGTGTGAAGAAGTCACAGTGAAAGCAATGGCTGCAGATATCACATGAAGCCATAATGTGATTCCATAGGTCTTGGCCTGTCATTGCGGCATGTGAAAGCACAGTTTATGCCTTTCCGTGGTATATGAATGCTGTCAATCGTGGTTAATTTAGAGATCTACTCTTACGTAAGCCTTGCCTTGTAACGCAGGAAGTGAACCTTGGGTTTGCAGTACAAAAATACCAAACAAACTTGTGACGCTGTTTGGCTCATTAAGATCCCGGTCTTTTGCAACAACAACAAAAAAACAACAACCAGGATTGCATGTCAACTCATTCGGCAATGAGATGAACCAAGAAGCCAAGATGTTTTGATCCTTCGGTTATTTGACGGGTGATCAAATGCCATCAAGTTGGTGTTGATTCTTAGCAACCTTCAAGATCTACTAGCATACATCCATTGCTCTTGTAATAAAGCCCATTAGGCCTGTTTCCTTCCATCTTTCCCAGCATTATGGACTTTAAACTGAGGAGATAATGTCTACGGAGATTCTCAGTCATCCAGGCCATAGCAACGGATGGAAACTAATCAAGGAGAGAAGCAACCGAGAACTAAGGAGAAACTTCCTGACAGTGAGAACAATTAACCAGTGGAACAACCTGCCTNCTGAAAAAGCACCTTTGGGACTGAAGAGAGAGTTCAGCCTACCCGCAGATGTAAAAGCTGTTTGATTAACTTGGGGTCAACCAGTCTCTCTTTGTCCGACTCATCGGATAGTTTTGGAAAATGACACGAGTGGAGAGTCTCAGACTGACGTCCCTGTTTCAGCATGAATATTATTGGATCAGATGACCTCACCAGCCTACTTCAGCTGATTCTTGAAGTAACCATGAGAGGAATCTTTGAATCATAGTGGACAATGCCTTAAATAGGAGCCAGCCGTGTGCTGCAGCTGCCAAAAAAAGTCAGCACAGTGCTAGACTGCATTCACAGAGGGATAGAATTAAGATTACGTGAAGTGTTAATACCACTTTACAAGGCCTTGGTAAGGCCACACTTGGAATACAGCATCTAGTTTTGGTCACCACGATGTAAAAAAGATGTTGAGATTCTAGAAAGAGTACAGAGAAGAGCAACAAAGGTGATTAAGGGACTGGAGGCTAAAGCATATAAGGAACAGCTGCTGGAATTGGGTATGTCTAGTTTAACGAAGAGAAGGACGAGGGGGGACATGATAGCAGTCTTCCAGTATTTGAAGGGCTGCCACAAAGAAGAGGGAGTCAACCTATTCTCCAAAGTACCCAAAGGCAGGACAAGAAACAATGGTTGGAAACTAGTGAAGGAGAGAAGCAACCTGGAATTAAGGAGAAATTTCCTAACAGGGAGAACAATTAATCAGTGGAACAACCTGCCTCCAGAAATAGTAACCTTGCATCCTCAGGGTCACCTGAGTGGTGCAAATTCTGATTTGAAAGAGGGCTCCAAGAGGCCATCTGTGCCAATACTGAACAGCCCTCTCAACAGAGGGGGAGGGATCCGACATCATCCATCTGCAGTCTGCAACACGGTCCTTTCAGCAGTTCCAAGAAGGCTCCACACCCATTTGCACCACTCAGGTGACCCTGAGGACACACATTAACCTCCAAGTGGCTTCAACGACTCTCTAAAAGGATGCAAATGACCAGCTGTCTGCAAGGAGTATAAATCCTTCCATTCCCCACCATCCAGTCAGAGCTGAAGAAGCTTCTTGGATGAGAAAGTGAAACATCTTCAAAGAAAAAACAACAAGAAATCCAGTTGCCTCTTGAAAAACTGAGTCTGAATCAGTGTTTCTCAACTTTGGCATCCTGAAGATACGTGGACTTCAACTCCCAGTATTCCTTAGCTAGAAATGGCTGGCGAAGGAATTCTGGGCATTGAAGTCCAACAATCTCCAGCTTGCTGGAATGGCTAATATCAGGTATTCTGCTTTACAACACGGTCAAAGTTCATTAACCTCTGTGTTTCCTTCTTGTTCCACATTTTTTTATTTGCTGGGCCACCGTGAGAAGCAAAACAATAGTTGGGTTTTAATGAAATGGCTGCAGGGAAATAATTAGAGCTTCGTTAATTAAATAGAACCATGATCAAAGGGAACTCTGATTAACCAGCATGCTTTGCAACACAGCTTGGAAAGCTGAGGTTGTCTAACTGGGCCTTTAAATGAGCTACAGGGTGTTGTCGCAAGGAGGTGAGAATTGAGTAGGGAGTGAATTCTGTCACCAGCCACGAAAGTTGAATGAATTCCGTCTACTTTTCTGCCAGTGGTTAGTGAAACCTCCACAGCCCGAAGCAGTCCTGCTGGAAAAAAAA